CAGCGGGTGGCGGGACCCGCGGGCGGCGAGGCGGGGCAGCGGTACAGCAAGGAGAAGAGAGATGCCATCTCGCTGGCCATCAAGGACATCAAGGAGGCCATCGAGGAGGTGAAAACCAGGACCATCCGTTCGCCTTACACCCCCGACGAGCCCAAAGAACCCATCTGGGTCATGCGCCAGGACATTAGCCCCACCAGGGACTGTGACGACCAGAGGCCGATGGATGGAGACGTAAGTCTGTGCGGGCTCGGGCGTGCTCGACTCCACTCTGTGGCCTTGTGTGCCATTGGAAAATGACTGTGGGGTCGCTAAGGTCCACGGTGAGCTTCGGAACCAGCTGGCACTAAGATGCACTCAGCAGGCCCTTAGCGACAGGGTTGTAAATCGGTGGTTCCCATACAGCACCTGGGCGGTGGGGTGGGGGTGTGGGGAGAAGTGGATCCCTGGGCACATCGCCTTCCACCCCCTAGCTGCTGCTTCAGAAGGTCTGGGGTAGGGCCTGAGAATTTGTACTTCTAATGTCAAATAAAGAACCAGCCCAGACTGAGTAAGGACTTTCTTGGAAAGGATTGTTGTAAAAGAGAAAAAGGTACTGTACTATTGGGGAGGAGGACTGTTGCCATAGGAGACCCTCCAACAATAAGATCTGCAAGGGCCTCTAAGGTTGGAGTTTTCTTTTATAGAGGGGAGTAAGTAGCCAAGGCAAGAAAGAACAGGGTGTGAGAAAGTGGGATGAAAGTTGCGAGTTGAATGCACTGTCGGTCAGATAATGTCTGAGACCAGCCTGTTCTCAGGAGTGGTTGTATGCTGACCAAAGTTTAGGCACCTGGAGGAAGGAGAAAGTCACCAGAGTTTGGTTAAAGAGCAGCGACGCACAGTGGCTCACGCCTGTAATCCCAGCATTTTGGAAGGCTAAGGCGGGAGGATCTCTTGAGCCCAGGAGTTTGAGACACAAGACCTTGTCTCTACAAAAAAATTAAAATTAGCTGGACATGGTGGCAAATGCCTGGAATCCCAGCCACTTGGGATATTGAAGTGGAAGGATGGCCTGAGCCCAGGAGTTAGAGCTTACTATGAACTGTAATTGTTGGATTCATACCATTGCACTGCAGCCCGGGTGACAGAGTGAGACTCCCGACTCAAAAAACAAAAAAAAGAACAACAAGCAGTTCAGCTAATCACTTATGAGGCAGAGATGGGAATTTGGAGCGACTGTGTCAGGCCTTGTCACGGGGGAAACAAGGGAGGTATCTGTGAGCTTATCTAAGTCATATGGGTGAAGGGGGTTTCTTTGCAGTAAGCTGTTTCCCAGAACACAAAAGAGCTGGGGGTTTTTTTTTTTTTTTTTTTTAACCTTCCCTGTTTTTTTCAGGTTTGCAGGGCTCGGGTAAATTTCAGGATTGCCACTCATCAGTTCCCAGGTGATGCTGGTCCCAGGACCACAGTCTGAGAGCCACTTCCTTAAAGTAACCCCTTAAAGATTTGGGATGGGCAATGTGGCCTCTTTGGAGGAAATCCTTCTGACCCCTTGCCTGCCAGGGGTTTCTGCAGTTTTCTTCCACCCTGAACCTCATTGTGGGTTTCGGCAGGTGCTTAATTTTCACTTCTGGTGGTACCAGGCCAGCCTTTCCACTTCACAGAAAACTAGTGTTTCATTGTGAATAACTAAACAAATCAATTGATGCCACCATCAACATTTTATTTTCCATTTTTGAAATACCTAAGAAATTTGATATTGTGGCAAACTTGGGTTTCGCATCTATTCAAAATAAATCAAGAAGACTAACCTTTGCTCTGACTTCCTTGCTGTGAAGATTCTTTCTGCGTTGACTCTCACTTTTCCATTCTCTTGAATACTTTTTAAGCGATTTCATTTAAAAATGGTTCTTGGAATAAGGGTCAAAACGTTAACGTCAATTTCATTCAATTCTGCGTTTTGTTATTGCACCAGGGTGTTTCTCAGTGTATATGTTTTGGAGTGATAAACCATTACTGTTAGCTATTTGCTCATTTTACTTGTACATGAAGGGCTACGCAGGTCAGAGAGGTAGCATTCACCTCCTCGCTTAGTGATAGTCAACATTTGCTGTTAGCTGATTAAATTGCTAGCACCTTTAAGGAAATATTGGAAACCAGTAGGAAAGAAAACTTCATCGTCCCCAGCAAGGGGGCAGCATTGGGTCAGTTAGTTTAGACATGTCCTGCATCTCTTCTCTGTTTTCTAGGCTTATGATTCAGTGAAAACCAGGTGCACTCACATGCAGAATTCTCCTTGACCTCCAGCTGTCTCCAGGTTCCTCCCAGCTAGGAGGGATTACAGGAGGCGTTTTGCAAATGAGGTGGAAAGGGAGCAGGTTTTCAAAAGGAGGGAGTTGGCAAGCAGCCAGTTTCTACATCCTTTTAGAAACTTGGAAAGCCATCAGAAGCAAAGCTGCAGGAGCAATTGGTCCAGATGCTGGGCTCACCCTTCAGCTCTCTACGACGCACCAGCTCCTTGAAATGACCTGCTTAACCACATTGGCTCTGCAGCCTCATGATGAGCCCACAGCACACCCTACCTACCATAGAGCTGGGGGCTAGCTTTTATTCATTGGAGCTAGGAGAATAACTTAACCCTCCTGCATGATGTTTCATTCAAAAGGCAGAATGCATTACAGAACATTGAATGTTGCGTTAGGGACCTCTCCCCAGCCCCCGTCAGAAATTCAGCTTGATGCTAAGAAATCAGTGAGTAGGGCTTTCTGGGTTATGAATAGTTAATACAAAGCAAAACCTGTGCTTTAAAATAGTCTACCAACCATTTTAAGCTATTTGAATTTGTAGGTTGCATTTCATCTGTCGTGCCATATTTATAGGAAAGGTCTTCACTTGCTGTCCCTTTAATGGTATATGGAAAGAGGGAATATATGTATATCCTATTGATTTCTATCTTAGCATCAAAAAAATATTTACTGAATACTCATTCTTCATGTGTGCTGTTAAAGAAAACAGTAAGGTACCATTAAAGTAGTGTGGTCTGAAGTCTGTCTAGGTGATACTTATTAAAAATGCAAGTTCCTGCCCTTCCTCTCCAAACCAAAATACTTGACAAGGGGCCTAGTGATCTGGTTTTTAGTTTAGTTTTGTTTTATTTTGTAAATTCTCCCTGAGATTCTCAAGCATGTGAAAGGTTGAGAACCACTGATTTAAAGGAAAAAAAAATTATTGTCCGGGCAATTTCCCCATGTAAGGGCTGTGGATTTGAGAGTTAACTAAATCTTTTATTAGTACAGATACAGTCCTAACAAAAGGACATAATCACCTCCTGTGATTATGGTCAGCAGACCTGGAGAAATGCCTCTGGGATTCTTAGTACAAAAGCAGTGCCTTCTCAAAATGGCTAGATCAGAAGCAACAAGATGGAAATAAAAACACCTGTATTACCACTAGCCAGAGATAATTGCTGATAGCTAACTTTACTTTTAGCATTACTTTTAATTCCCCAGAACTTTAGCACTTTTCAGCAAACTGGCATTTGTTTGGGGGAGATTGCACAGAATGAGAAAATGGGATTGCTAAGCCACAAGAATTTGCTGAACGCATACTAGATGCTCAGCACTGAGAGAGAATAATTGTTTTCTAAAAATTTGGAAAAAAAATACTTACATGCTTAGCTTCTAATAAGGAGTTTCACTTTTCCAGGTGTATGTTTGAGAACCATCTCCCAGTCCCCTTCTTAAAAATATTGATAATAAATGACTAGTCCTGAAACGTCCCAGCCTACCAACCTCTCTTTAGGCAACAGAATCATTCTGAGAACAGAATCTCGGTAGACTCAGAGAAATTGATGTTGGCGAGCACAGAATGTAAATTAGACAGTTATGGCCACTTTGATGTGTTGTGCAGTTTGAAATGGTGTTTATCTCTGCTGCCTCCTAGAACTAAAATAACAGTAAAATAATAAAAAGCACAAAGACAGAGGAAACAGCAGCAGATGAGAACAACAATTTTGGGACCAAAGTGGTGACTGGCTCTGGTAGAGGTATTAATGCTCCCCAGTTTTTCCAGTTTTCCTTTTTTTCCAAACACAGAGTGAATTGCACTTCCTCATCCCCTAGAAGTAAGGCATGGTCAGTGAACTGTGAGTACTGAAGTGTACTGCTTTCAGGACCATGCTTTCCTGCCCCAACAAAACAAACCCTGAAGCTTTACATTAAGATGGTGGCACCTCTGTCAGCACAGGTTGTGTGACCACGATGAGCAGGGTTCCCGCTGACCCATTCAGGATAGGTACTGTGAGAGAGGAATCAATCTTCGTTGTTTTAAGTCATGGAGATTTGGGGATGATAGTTACCACCACCACCTGATAGATCAGTTGTAGCCTGGTCAATCCTGACGAATACACTGATGAGAGTTGTTTCCTCTCTTCTACAAAGTGTTTGTGAGGATTTGTGCTATAGACCCCTCTTCCCCAGAAAAGGTTCAGGAATTTGAGATGTCAGATACCTCAGGTGGCAGGAATATGAGGGCTATGACTGAAGAAATAAGGATTGTTTGGAAGACTGTCACAGAAGGCATTAGACTTTCTGATGCCTTCTTCAGCCTATGAAGCCAGGTGACTCCTTGCTACAGAAGATAGGAGGCCTCTACCAGGAAAGGGTGAACCAGAGGAACACTGAAACTGGGGACATTACTTGCAATTGAAAATGGGAACAAGGTGCCTTGGGGAAACATAAGGTCTACTAAGCAGTAAGCCCCTAAGAATGCCTTAGAATTCTTAGTTGCCAGGGTTAGAACCCAACCCACCCTGGGGACTCGAGCAAATTAGAATATTCCTCTAGGAAATAGGCCCAAGAGAAAATAACTATAGATATTGATGTTTGGGGATTTCCCAGTACAGCACCTGAGTTTCCACCTGATTACCCCATAGTGAAGGCTCCTGCCACTCAGGGATCTTCCAGTAGGCTTTTGGGGGACCTACTCTTAAATATGAATGAACAGTTAAGGATCACCAAATGTTTGAAGAACATCTCCAACATGAAAAGTAAATATATGTTTTTAAAATGGGAAAAAGTCAGTGCTCAGTGCAGAACATTGTAAAAAAAAAAAAAAAAAAAACCTATAACAAAGAACATTCTAAAACAACAAAAAAAAGGAACTCAAACTAAAAAATATGGCAAAGAAATTTAAAATTAAAAAGAGAAAAAAACTTCAGTAGAAAAGTTAGAAGACAAAGTTGAGGAGATCTTCAA